TGAGATCTTGATTTCCCATCTGTTGTGCTGGTGCACTGCAAGAAATGTGTCCTAAGTGTGGTCATTCCTGCAGTTAGGAGTTTGTGGTTCACTCATAAGCTTTTAAGGTTAATATTTTTCTTTTTCATAAATTTGATGCAATTATTCAGAACTAGTCTTATTAAGCAACTAACTTTTATATTTATTAAAGTGGCCTCTGCAAATGCATTTAAGAGAAATTTTGTCAAAATCACTGCAGATGCTCTGTGGTTAGAAAAGAACAAGATTTTTTTAAGAGGCAGAGGAGCTGTTTTATGGTTACGTTTTAAGGAAAGATGCAGTATCATTGAACATGGTATCTTGAAGTACCCAATGAAATGCATTTTTAAATGAAGATTCACTTGATACTAATATTACAAATATAGACAAAGTGTATCAAGAACATGAAGTCTCTAAATGTTAATGGCCTTATTTCTGAAATTCAATTTTTAAACAATCAGTGATTGTCATTTGCTTTGGGCGAGTAGACCTCAAATGCACCTTCTGAATAGCTTCTAAATTCTAGTGCTGGGCAGTCTGAATGATGTCTCATCCTGTCCCCAGAATTGCCCTTCATGTATTTTTTTGCTCTCAGTCTGTTTATTATCCAGTAGTATCATTACTGGCTGTTTTGTAAATTGATGAATAATAGCTGCACATATTTGTGGAGTACAGTGTGATAATTTGATATTTGTATTATAATGTATCATAAGCAAATCAGGACAATTAGCACTTATCTGTCCTTAAATACTTTTTCTGTTGGAAACCTTCAAACTCCTCCATTCTAGTTCTTTATAAAACTTTTAGTAAATTTTTGTGAATTATGTTCAGTCTATTCTGCTGTATATCACTCCTCCCTTCTAACTGAACTTTAGTATTGTTACTGACTTCCCTTATCATTTTCATAATTTGTAGTTCTTTACTGTCCTAATTTACTAAAATAATGAAAAAGGAAAAACTAAAGAGATGATCCTGAATAGTTAGATCTCCTGATCTTGATCTTGTAGTAACTGAGAAACCAGCATCTAGTACTATGTGAAGGCCAGGAACTCAGGTAGGTAAATTTCCATTTCAAATATAATTTCCTGTGCTCACTTCGGCAGCACATATACTAAAAAATATAATTTCCTGAAATGAAAGTGGGATAACTTTTTTTTTTATCGGTACTGGGGATGGAACTCACGATTGCCTGCTTGCAAGGAAGGTGTTTATGCCACTGAGCTAAATCCCCAGCCCTAAAAGTGAGAAAACTTTTAACTTATTAAGTTGTGTACTGTTTGAATAAAAAGAATATTTTTGAAGGTGATCAATACTTTAAATTCTACCAGGATCATGGAAAGGCCGGAGAAATGATATGAATTTAAGATCATTTTAATTTATGGTTTATTCCTGTAAAAAGGGAAATTACTGCTTGTGTTTCTGAAATGAAGGAAAAAGAAGCGTCCTTCCTACCCTTGAGTTCTGTGGTGGCTTCCACTAGTGGCAAGCCATGTGAACTGTGTGCTGATTTTCAAGGCCAGCACAAGATCCTTCCAGATGGCTGGAATATTGTGGAAACTGCAATCGTAAATAAGGTACATGGGGTTCATTTGATCACTGAATTAATTTTCTGTTGCCACTGTATCAAGTTATCACAAAACTTGGTGACTTTGAGCAAAGTATATTTCTAAGGGTTATGAGTCTGAAATCAGTTTCATTGGTCCAAATCAAGGTGTTGGCAGAGCTCCCTTCCCTTGAAAGTTTCATGGAATCTATTTCCTCAATTTTCCCAGCTTTTAGAGTGGCACTGTCTGAATTCTTTGGCTCATGGCCTTTTCCTCCATCTTCAACTCCTTCTTTGTAGCATCTCGAAATCCTTCTCTGTAAAATTTTCTTATCATCTTCTCACCTGTCTAGCAGATTTTTCCTCTAACTGACTTTTATAAGGATACATATGATAACATTTAGGGTCTTCCTGGAGAATCCAGAATAATCTCCCCATTTAAAAATTCTTCATTTAATTATACTGAAGATGTTCCTATGATGGTATCAGTTGTCATTTATAGTCTCTAGAGGTTAGGACCTGAATATCTTTGGGGGCCATTATTCAGCCTATCACAGTCGTAATTTTTTGCCCTGTTCTCCTCTAATGCCTATAATGTGTCTAATGCTGTGACATATTATATGCTATTTCCTTAAAGATACATAGACAAATGGAGGTTTGCTTTTACTTTCAGGAAATTCACCTGAGATACAGAGCCTTACATGCATGTAAAAGATGTCAATACACAGGTGCTGCCAAAGAGATTTCCAACAATGTTTTCATAATATGGGTGGAGTCATTCTCTGAGGAACTGGGAGAGCTTTAGAGATCTGTTTTCCTTTGTTAAGTGAACCATTTCTAGGGGCTCCATAGTCCATTCACTAAAGCTCCTGGCCCCACTTTGAAATCAACCTCATTAGTTAAAAAACAAAGTATTGGGGAAGGGATACAATGGTCTTTTTGGTTCACTTGCTGTACAAGTTTGCTGGCCCAAGGATGTTTTGGCCAAAGAGCTGACCCTAGAATTATACTTTCTGGATATGCTGAACCAGCTCATATCAATAATTTCTTATTTGACCAGCAAAGAGAACTTTTGTCACATATGAGTATGCATTGAATCCTTGGTTAGACAATCAGTGTGTGTCTGCTAAATATATCAGTTTATGGAAGAAGCTGAAAAAGAAATCAAGGTTTAACTGTACTTAAAACTGGTCATAAGAAAACAGAAAAGAGAAAAAAGTTCGAAGAAAATGATGCATCTATTATTGATGGTTTCTTGGAACCATGGGAAAAATATGTGGATGAAAAGATGTAGCCAAAGCTTCAAAGGAAGAGCAAAATGAATTGGGTGAAATCACAGCAAACAGACAGAAAAAGGGCAAATAAGGAGAAGACAAACCTGGGGAGGAGAAGACAATCTAACAGGTTAAAGAAATGTGTGACATCAAGGCAGGTCCTTTTTTCATATTCTTCATGATGTTGGTGTTAATCTGTGGTCCAATGTGCCACCTGAAAAGTGTTATCTTCCCAGAGGAAAAGTAGATAAATAAACGTGTGTGGTCTGGACACAGAGTGTGCCAGCTAAATCAAGATATTTTCTCTTTCTTGCCATTTATTGCTGTCTTCTTCCATGCACTGTAAAATTAACCTGTGGGAGATTTATGGAGATTGGGCCATCTACAAACATTTATTGGTCACAGTAAAGCTGTTAGGGACATCTGCATCATTGTGGCAGAAACCCACTTCCTCAGGATAGCCTCTGACAGGTATAAACTCTGGGACACTGAGACCAGACAGTGTGTATCAAGAGTCACAAACCAAAATGTACCCCATTACGTCAAATTTGATTCTGATGAAGAAATATAAAATATCTTTGTGGCTAAGATGTCTGATAAAAAAGTTGTGCAATGAGACATTCAAAGTGGAAAAATTGTGCAGGAATCTGATTGGCATTTGGCAATTGGTCAACACCATTGTTTCTGTTGATGTGAACTGAAGATTTTTGAGTAGATCTGATGAAAAAGATAAAAATTTGGGGACAGGAAATCCCTGTGGATTTTAAGTGAGTATGTACCCAGTATGCACTTAATGCCTGCGATGATTTTGTCTCCAAATGGGGAAGTGGCTAGCATGCCAATCAGTGGACAACGAAATCTTAATTTGTGGAGTAAGATTCAGATTGAACAAGAAAAAAATTTTTAAAGGCCATATGGTAGCAGACCATGCTTGTCAAGCGGACTTTTCACCAGATGTGAGCTATGTGATTTCAGGTGATGTAAAAGGAAAGTTAAACATTTGGGCCTGCAAGACCACAAAAATCCTACAGTGGTTTTAAGCTCATGATAAAGTGTGGGTAGGTGCAGTGTGGCACCCTCTTGAAACACCTAAGGTCGCCACGTGTGATTAGGATGGTCTCATAAATTGTGGCATTATTTCTTAAACTATCAAAGATTAATCAAATACCATATTTAACTACATTTAATTATTAAATGTGTTGGATCACAACTTGATTTATAGGTAATGTTTTCCTTACATGATCTTATGAAATTGAGCTATTGTTAAAAAAAAACAAACTTTGTAAATTTGCCTCCTATAATGTCAATAATGGCAGCTTAATTTTGGTCTTTATGAATGTTTTCATTAACTTTCTATTTGATAAATACTCTATTGTTGGCAGGCAGTTTGGATTTATGCCCTATGATATTACTAAAAGGTTCTTTTTGAGTTTAAAAAAAAATCCGTACTAGATTTGGGATCCTCTAGAAAATAATGTAATTAATGACTAGATAGTGCCATATATTTACCTATTCAACAAGGAGGGCAGTAAAGAACAAAGATGACACAATCTAATATATATTTGAAAGAAAAATAAAACCACCCACACTTACTATTACCTTTATGTTCAGTAGGCCAACTACTAGACTTTTGGCTTCATGAATATAATGTTGTATATTCTTACCTGCAAATCAATAATCTCCTTTGAATACAACATTCCTCTAATTGTTAAACAATGTGAAATAAAAACCAGGTCAGAGTTCTTTGCTTGACTTTCTTCCTGATCAGTATAGACAGGACTTACATATTACATTACAGAGAATTAAATTATTTCTGAATATGAACTCAAGAGAATGACCCAAGTCTTGTGAATTTTGCTTCTGTTCATTTACTAGGACCTGGCCACACACCAAGGAACCAGAGTCTTCACCAGTGTCACTCCTGAAACCCTGCTCAGAGAACGCAGGGTATGAAAGTATAGTCCAAAAGCCACTTTGTAATTTACTGGAAGTCATGTTTTATCTTTAAAATTATTCTGATTTTGATTTTAAATACATATAACAGATTTTTTTTCACAGTTTCAACACTACTGTTTTAATAATATGAAATACAAATACAAAACATTGTACAAGTATAATTTTTACTACACAGAGGTGGAATAATACATTTGTATTTTTACTCAAATCTGTATTACTCAGTGCTTGCCACTGTACCAGAGGTTTTCCACAGGGATTTCTTTTCTTTTTACTATTCCTATACAGATTTATTGTGCATAAAAGGCTCACAGTTCTTTTCAACCATGGCAGATTTACATTTATCTTAACATCACTATGAGGGAATTGTTAAGAAATATAAAATTACCTTAGCTAAGTGTTTCCAATGCATACTACTCCACATTGGCTAAGATATACTTTATGCTTTTACTGGAAAGACATTTGCATTTACTTGGCATTAGAAGTAGTTGTAGCCCTTACTATTTAGGAAGACAAATAGGCATTTTCTGAAAAGTTCACAATATCATAATAGTTATTGTCAAGCAGTCACTCACAAAACTCCAATGACAGACGACAACAGCAACAATGGACTATAAATCTTACAAATACTAAAAAATTAAGTTTATAAATACTGAAACTGGCTGTCTTTTCTACCTTGAAAATGGTTTAACCACATAAGTCAGTAAGAAGTAAACTGTGCTAATGCCCAGCATTCAGCTTCCATAGCATATCTCAGTTTTCCACTGATTTTAGCTGAGTTGTGTTTATAACAGATGCAAAATGAAAAGACGAAAGCGCTATTAATTTGTTTGGAAATGTGAAAAATATTGTTAATTTGATAAAGTATTTGAAACTAATTTTGTTTTTATAAATAAAATGGTGTTCATCTTCAAAAACAGTTTTAATCATTCTTGCTCTTAAATCACTCAAAGTTATATCAATCTTGAAAGAAAAACGCTGGAGAATTTAAAGTTACATGTTTGGAAAAGTGAATGACATTTTTAATCGCCAACTAATACGACACTTTGTTCTTGGTAGATTCATTTTTGTTTCTTCTTTTGCTATCCCAATTACAAACTCTGGCCACAGTGACTTCTGTTGTAGTAAACTGATCTCGAAGAAAGTCAAGGTCTTCCTCAAGAGAATCAAGGTTCTTCATGGCAGCTGATAAATTCTTTTCCAACAAGGCCTGAGCTTCATCAATATCATACTCAAGCATTACGTTAGCTCCCAGCCACAAACACACTTTGTCAGTAGGAGGAACCCAAGCTTTGCAGTACAGGTAATCTGCCAGTAAGAACCTGGTCTCTAAGCAAGTGGTAGACTCCTTTCTCTTCTGCATGTATCTCAGAACTTCCAAAGTCTGCTTGATTTCAGGGATCTGACCTTTTAATCTCTCTTTCTTTTGAGCAAGATTGAGTTCCATGAATTTATACTTCTGGGCCTGTTCATCCAGCTTCTTTAGTACCGTTTCTGCGGTCTCATTCCCCGGCTGCTTCATGAAGGAGTCCACGTCGTCCACAAACACAGCCTCAGGAATCCCCAGGTGGAGGCGCTGCCCCTTTCCGGGGTCCACTTGCCCCTCACCGCAACGGTCCTTGGCTGCCGCCATCTTGCGGAAGTGAACCGCCATCTTGCGGAAGTGGGCACGGGAGTGACGTCATATAACAGAATTTTTAAGGTTAGAAAAAAATTGCGTTTTTTCAAAATCTTTGAAAACACTGCCTTACAAGAAGATATCTAGAGCTCCCTGGTTTTAAAAGCTGTGACTCTCATGTAAAGAAATGCTTAAAAGCTTCAGATTATTAAATCAAAAACAGCCTCTTGATTATAGTGCCTAATTCATTTGACAACCCAATTCTCTTGATTTATTGTATTGCTGTATTAGATGTTTTGAATGTTTGAAATGGTTTAGTACCAGGTTGGAAAACTTGAGTGATACCTGTTCTGAGTGCTGACTTGGGAAGCAAAATTATGTTGAGTATTGGTGACCCGTGAGGCTTAAGCTCCAAACCTTGTGCTATCTCAGCAGTGCAAGGCGCTTGTCTTCAGAGAGCTTCCATTGTTTAATATTAACCTTTTAAAAGGCCTGGCCAGCCAGGTATAATAGTACATGCCTTGTTATACAACAGTCTGGGAGGCTGAGACAGATCAAAAGTTTGAGTCAGCCTGGGAAATTTAAAAATTTGTGAGACCCTGTTATAAAATTTTAAAAGGGCTGGGTCTTAACTCACTGTCAAGGCCTTGGGGTGCAGTCCCAGGTACCATGGAAAGGGGAAGAAAGGAAGCTGATAAATATGACCAGGCCCGGTAGCCACATATAAATAAATTTCAAAGAAAATAAAAAAGAGGAAATAAAAGGAGATGTATTTTTTTGACACAGACACCCAAAGAACTAGAAGCACACTGCCTAACTGCTGCCATTTCTTTGTATCTATAGCCAGAAGAGTGGTAGCTAAGAAGAAAGAATTAGTCCCAGCCACTAGTTTTTTAGAAATGCGAATTATTGAAATGAGATGGCACAAAGATAATCATGTATCTGAAATATTGTTCAGCACCAGTATTGTTTATGTCACAGATCATAATGTTTAAATCTAGGTTTATTTTATTGTTTCTCACGTTTCTAAACTAAGTAGCTGTATATGGGTTTTTCTTTTTTGAAAATATTCTGTTTTTAAATAAAGCAGTTTTTGTAGAAAAAAAGTCTTAATGTATTTATCAGTTTGATTAAAATCAACTTCCCGTGCCAATAGCTGTATCCACAGTTCTTTTAAAAACACATCACTTAGATTTCTTACATTTTATTTCTCACTCCAATTTCTTTCTTGACATAACCTTCCATTTTTTTTTTTTTTGGTACCAGGAATTGAACTCAGGACCTTGCACTTGCCAGGCAGGCATTATGCCTCTGGGCTATAGTCCCAGCCCCAAAATAGCTTTTATAGTCCTTGAGTTTACTGGAAATCAGTGGGGTATTTTGTCTAATTTAAAGAAAAATTCCTTGAAGGAACATTTATCAGGGGTTTTTATTTTACTGGAAATAGTCTATTCAGAGGTGCAGCAATCAGTGTAGTGGCTTTTGATTTTATTCCTTCCTTCCTTCTGTTTGATTTGAGAAGCAATGGCCTTGTCCTGCCTTCTTAGACTGAATGTTCTCTTTCCTTTCAGATAGAAAAAAAATGCCAGAATTTTCCAGGTTCACTCTTTTTTTGGTAATCCTTTGCCTCATGCAGCAACAAATGCATCAGCTCTTTCTTTCTGTTTTCCTAGCTTTATATTCAATTTGTTGCACACATGGTTGCCTTACTGACGTTTTCAGATTACCAAACGATTTGTCCTTTGTCCCTTGGATCACCATCTTTCCAGCTTTCAGTATCAACTTTCTCACTTCTCATTGAGAGCTCTTATATTAAAGGCCACACATTTTAAACTTTGGTTTAACAACATCTCTTGTCCCACGTATTATCAATATCTGTATCAGTCAGAACAGATTATATTGTGACAGTAATAAACAATCTCCAATTTTTATGTCACTTTAGTCAGTAAAGATTTATTTCTTGCTTAAGTAAAGTCTGTGTGAGTCAAGGAAACTCTCCAGACCTAATCATCCACGGGATGGGTCAGAATCTCATCTTTAGGTCAGTACTGGGTTCTGTTACTACTTAAACAGAGGAGTTACTGGGTGGAGCACTGAGACCCCACAATTACAAGCTTCTGCATGGATTTTCTGAGATGAGGGATTAGGATTTGTGACTTCTGTTCCAATTTCTTCGACTAAATTAAGCTTTATTTAACCTCAAAGGAAACAAAAGGAAATTCTATAATAGACCTGGAAAACAGAGAAGAATTAGGAAACCCTGACAGTTAAGGTTTTAGGTAAAGGTTTTAAACACTCACATGCATGCATACACACTCACACAGATATTATTCTGCCCTGTAAAATGACCATTATCTCTTTAAATAAATTACTTTTTGATATAATACACAAAATTGTGTATTGAAAACTCAGTGTTCGTTTTTCTTTTTTATGTATTTTCCTGTATCTCAGAAACTGGAAACTTTTTGGAATTTCTTCAAGTGGGATTCTTCATTATATTCTATGAATAGTATTCACATGTGATTTGGAAGGTAGAAGAGAAGCAAAAACCATTATCACTAAAACTATTGTGGTGAGCAGGGGGTGGACTTTGATAAACAGAAAATGTGTTCTCAGTGACTCCTGAAAATTACCCACTCAGAACTCTAGACAGCTAAGATTTCTGGTAACATCTTTCTGAAATTGCTGCACTTTTGGTTCTAGGGATATTTTTACATTTTTGAAAGTTTCTGATCAGTTTTTCTCATCTGAGTCTTTTCTGATGTATAAAGTATGAGTAAGGCACAAATTCTCAAGTATGAGGATCTGACCTGGTTAGATTTTAAACAGTAATGACTTCATCCACTGGAGAAAAATAGATACTGGTAGGCCATGACATGTAACCGCAAAATAGCACTTAAATTACTGTGTGTAGATATCTATGACAAAGTGCCTGGTGAAGGTAAACCTTTGGGGTGACAAAATAGAGTATGATAGTGGATATGAGGACTGCAAGGATGTTAAAAAATGGTGACTACTTCTGACAGCATTAGAGAACATTTAAAAGGAATAGAAGGAACTCAAGACCTAAATTTCTTGGCTCAGAGTAGCCAGAAAACCAGAGAACTTTTTTGATTGCCTTTAAAGAAATTCTTATCTTTAATTGTATGAATTTTAGATCTGATCTTATTCCACAAAATCAGACCCAAAATTTAATGCTGCAGATTTTAGTGTTACGTAAATTTGGATTCATAGTTTACCACAGCTTTTTATGAAAGTTGAGCCGTTGATAAGAAAGACTAAAATACCCAAAACTAGAATCCAAATCTAGTGATCTGGATTCTTGGAATAATGTCCTTCTTTGAAAAGTTTCAATGACCTCAACTAATGTTATTTGAAAGGATTACGAATGAAGATGTGGTCACCTCCAGACTTTTCCTGCCCCTTTTTTATTATTTCCAGATTCTTTGGGAATCTCAATCAGATTCCCAAAGGCAGCAAAAATTCTGATTTTGAAGGAAGATTATCAGGTTGTACCAATTTATATTAGTCAGGAGTGAAGCCGTACTGAAATCATGATTTTAGCACTCTGGAGTCTTTTGAGATTTCTGACCTGCTGAAATGTAATACAATACATTTATGTCATTTTATGCCACTTAATGTATAGTAATTTGTTGCAGTATTGATAGGACACTAATATAATGTGACCTACTAATATTTTATTTAATAAGTACAGTAAAGAATTTAAATCTGGTTCATACAGATATGCTTAGCATCCATAACACAGAGCTTTATGCTAACATATACTTTTACTATTTTCCCCAAATATCACATCACCAATCAAAATGGAGTCTAAAGAGGGCTCAATCATCTCATATTCCTGTAGAATATCATGCTATCCACTATGTAGATAATATGACATTGACAGACTTAGTTAATGAGAATTAATAAAATTATAAAACCTATCCCCCAACCCATGAAGTTTCTAGAAAGTATAAAATCTATGGTATATAAAGATTATGTCCTTCAAAGTAAAAGTCACATTGCCGTATACCAAGTTCTATTATTAAAAATGTGACATAGCATTTGGTGGTATGTTTTGATTCAGGTAGCAACCTGGCTCTTACATTACTTTGCTACTCTACTTCATTTACCACACATCTATAAGGATAAACTGCCTTACTGCTTGGGTCTCTCAACATAGCTGGCTCAGTGATGCCTTAATTATCTGCTAGGAGTGTTCTGGAGCCTCTGGTGAGATCCTGTGGGAGAAACACATTGAAAGACATTTAGAAATTTGGATCTGTCATGCTTTATTCATGGAAACAAACTGCTGGGTTGCTATTGGGGCCTGGTAATATACAATTTTGATTATGGGGTCACAACTGATCATGTGATTTGAGCAGCCCAACATAAAGTACTGTGGTGTTGGGCATAAGCAGTAGCCTTCTGCTGTTAAGTGTCTGATACTTTTTATGTATCACTCCAGATGTTCTTTCCCTCAGAAGACTGCGGACAGTATAAATAGGCAATGCCAGTCAGATCCTTCCACCTCTGGCTTCTCATTGCATGCAGTCAGTTGGGAGCTGGCAGAAGACGTGAAGGAGGGATGAGGATTTCTCCTTCATACAAGGTTACCCTAGGTTGCTATGTATTTAATCTTTAACTTCTCTCGAGCCCTCTCTACATAAGTTGTCCTTTTTAAATGACTCTCTTCTCATTTTATTTCAGCTTTAGTAAAGATGCAAGGCCCAGGGCATACACCATCGTTTTCAGTCTTCTCATACTCTGCACATATATTTGTTAATAATTGTTTTACTGACTTTCTTGAAATGACCTTTTCATTTTTTTACATGTAATATGTTTATTTTAGACAGGCAAAAAAAGCCATTTCAAAATCTACAAATGTAAAGCAAATAGCTATATACAGATAACAAAGAGGTAACATTTTGTTACAAGCCAGCACACAGCATCAGAAGGAAAGAGGCATGAGAAAATACATATTTATACAGCATTAAAACCAGATGAACAACACATTGTGGGGC